TTTTGGAAAAGCAGCTTCTGAGAATTACCTTTTTTTTTTTTTTTGCTGCCGTTAATTGTTCCCTCCCCAGCTGCTGTTTGCAGTTTTGGAAAAGCAGCTTCTGAGAATTAACTTTTTTTTTTTTTTTGACTCGTCAGCGGGATTCACGAAGCCGGTTAATGCATATAATTGGAAGGTATAGCTTCCCTCTTGAGCCGGCAGCGATGAAATTTCTCTGATCCTCTCTGTAATTTTATTTTTAAGTGGCCATCGAGTGCCTTCTAATAAGCACATTTTGTGAGCTACAGATACCTTTCTCCCCCCCTGTTTGAATTTCTCGGGACGTAACTGAACAGCTTAAAGCGGTTTGTACGTGAGATTAATGATCACGGAGTTAAAAAAAAAACACCTGGTATCAAATTCTCCATTCCCTCTTGCTCAACATCAAAGAGACCTCCAAAGTTACCCCATCAATCATTTCTTTCCGTGGCAAAAACGGAATAACAAATAGGAAAGAGAAAGTGGCTGCATACAAATGCAAAAGCGAAATTAAGGTTCTTTTAAAAAACAGCAACAACATGCAATTGGAGATTTGTTTTAATTAGTTGAAGAACTACAGGTAGCGGGGCCTGAAGGTGGCAGGTTAGAATTTGGAAGGCGCAGGTTGGAGGCTACAGCCCCCCCCCCCTCCTCCCCATGGAAGCTCATTAAATGAGTTTGTGCCAATCGTTCTCCTTGAGCTGAGCTTACAGCTCGGGATCGGCAACTGCCGAAAAGAAATTGGTGGCAGGGATGGGATGATAGATGCTATTTTAAGCTCCTGGAAGCAAGCTGGGATAGACATCTAAGAGGTAAAGAAATGTAAAATGGTAGTAATGGAAGAGAATATTTGTAGCTCAGAGGAGTCCATTGTGCTGTTTGAGCTGGGCTGTTTTCTCGCAGATGTTTCATAACCCAACTAGGTGATGTCATCAGTCTAGAAGGGAGTGGGGTGTGCTGGGAGGAGGGGGAAAGGAAGAGGAGAAGGAGGAGGAAAAGAGGAGGACTATGGGGTCCTTGGTGCTCTCTGAGCTGGGTTGTTTTCTTGCGACGTTTCATGACCCAGCTAGGTTACATCATCAGTGCTAGGAGGGAATGGGGTTTGTGGAGAGAAGGAGGAGGAAGTGGAGGAAGACTGTGGGATCCTTACTGCTCTCTGAGCTTGCTTTTTTTCATGCAGACGTTTCATTACCCAGCTAGGTAACATCATCGGTGCGAGAAGGGGTTGAGGTTTGGGAGGAGGAAGAGAAAGAGGAGGGGGAGGAGGAGAACAACAACTGTATAGTCCTTGGTGCTCTCTGAGCTTGCTTGTTTTCTTGCAGACATTTCATTACCCAGCTAGGTAACATCATCAGTGCTAGAAGGGAGTGGGGTTTGCAGGGAGGAGGAAGAGAAAGAGGAGGAGGGGAGGAGAAAGAGGAAGCGGGGAGAAGGAGGAGGAGGAGAACTGTGAGGTCCTTGATGCTCTCTGAGCTTGGTGATTTTTTTGCAGGCGTTTCATAAGCTAACTAGGCAACATCCTCAGGGCTAGAAGGGAGTGACTTTTCTAACACTGATGATGTTCCCTAACATGGTAATGAAACGTTTGCAAAACAACAATAACCGCAACCGAGCTCAGAAATCACCAAGGACCCCACAAATATAAAAACTGTTCATTTCCCCTCTTTCTTCAAACAAACCATAATTTCGGTTGAGTTGCTGGAGTCAATCCATGGGAAGAACACCCCCCCCCCCGCCAATTCAAGACCCAATAACTGTAACCTTTAAGAATGTGGGTTCAAGTCCCCAGTTTAGAGGGCATGCAAAGTCACATGATCTCCCCCCCCCCCTTGCTGGAAGGCAGAAACCACCAGTTTTAACACTGTACACTAGAAACTTAACAACCTCAAACAAATACACAGAATAACAGAATAATGGAGGAGACCTGGAAGGTCTTCTAGTCCAACCCCCTGCTCAAGCAGGAGACCCCATAACGATGAGGGCGAACCTTTTCGGCACCGAATGCCAAAAAAAAGAAATATGCAATTGCAAACGCGCGCCATAGGTTTCCCTATAGCCTTTCAGACAAATGACTGCCCAGCCTCTTTTTAGAAACCTCTGCAACCACAACTTCTGGTGGTGAGCTGTTCCACGGGTCAATTGTTCTTACTGTCAGGGAATGCTTCCTTGGTCCCAAACGGAGTCCATCTTCGGTTCAAATGCATTTGCCTTTTTCCGTTCCAGAGACAGACAGGTCCAAACCGTCCTCTTCGCCAGAGCTTCGCTCCCCGCTCAGTGTCCCCGAGAAGCAGTATGCGGACGCCGTGCCCGCATCCCTGGGGGGCAAGAAGAGCGTTTCCTTTAAGCAGAGCTTGCTCAGCTTCGAAGCCTTTGACTGCGAGTCCGTGAGTGACATCGAGGACCTGAGGCAAAGAATCCGGGATCTGAAATCTGTGGTGGAGAAGTACCAGGTGCTGCTGATTCACTTCAACCTGATCGAACCGCCTCCTTCCGGAGACCCTTTGGATCCCGTTGGGAGCGACGGCGAGAGTCCCACGTCTCCGGCAGGGATAAAGGAGAGCGAGCCGGAATTGGCCAGCTTCTCCAACGAAACGCAGCCGAAGGAAGGCGCCGAGGATTTGTCCGGATCCAGTCCCTCCAACAACCGGACCGTCCAGAAGCTCCGGGAGCTGTTGTCGGAAAACGAAGCCGAGCTTGAGAAAGAGCAGATGGCCAACATGAAGCTGGTGGATGAAGTCCATCGTCTGCACGACAAGCTCAAAAGCCTTGCGCCCCGGGATGAGTAAGTAGCAGCCGCTTGGCCTTTGGAAGAAAGGGGTTGGGGGTCCCTGCAAAACAACAACAGCCATGGTTATAATATAGTTAGTCCTCAAACGTACAACCTCAATTCATCCCCCAATTTCTGCTCTAAGCGAGATGGTCCTTAAGCAAGTTTCTTGTCCCCCTTTTATGACCTTGTGAAGCCTCGCTGCAGCGGTTAAGTTAGCCCACCCGGTCATTAAGCAAATCTGGCTTCCCCCATTGACCTTGCGGGTCAAAAGGTCGCAAAAGGGGACCCACCCACCCCCGGGACACTGCCACCGTCATAAATACAAACCAGTTGCCCAAGCGTGTGGATTTTGGTCATGTGACCATGGGCAGGGATATGCTACAATGGTCGTAAGTGCGAAAAATGGCCATGTGACTTTTTTCATCGTAACTTTGTATGGTCACTAAGCGAGATGGTTGTTAAGCGAGTTTCTCCCTCCTTTTACGACCTTGTGAAGCCGATCGCTGCAGCGGTTAAGTAAGCCACCTGGTCGATCACCGAATCTGGCTTCCCCCAGTGATGCTGTTGGTCAGAAGGTCGCAAAAGGGGACACTCCCCCCCCCCCGGGACACTGCCACCGTCATAAATACAGACCAGTTGCCCAAGTGTCTCAATTTTGAACACGTGACCATGGGGCGGGGTGTGTGTGCTATGGTGGTCGTAAGTGTGAAAAGCGACGGTAAGTGACTTTTTTCATCATAACCTTGAATAAACTAAGCTAATGAGTTCAAAGACAGGGGCGGGTTTCGGCAGTTGCTACTGCTGGTTCGCTCATGGGAGTGCTCGCTTGATGCGCCGTTCTGCGCAGAAGCCCGCAAAAAAGATGGCGGTGCCCACGGCGCCACCTGGAGAACTGGTTTGGGGGCGTGACAGGACCCAGGTTGGCGGACAGGTAGGAAGATGAGGAAGTAACAGAGTAAGTCATAATACGTGCAACAGCATTCTTCTGACCCAGCTCCCCAAACATGACGAACCGCAGTCTGAGGTGAACTCTCTCTAAACGATCACGAAACGGACTGTTGTAAACCGAGGACTACCCGTCTTGGGTTTTGATGTTTTTAGGTGTTTTTTTTTGGGGGGGGGGTAAGCTGCCCAGAGTCACTAAGAGCGAGCCGGCGGCAATACCCATTTTCTAAACAAAATACCGTATTTTTCAGAGTATGAGACGCACCGGAGTATAAGACGCAGCAAGGTTTTGAAGAGGAAAATAAAAAAAAAGTTTATGCACTCTGCAAACCTCCCAAAAATGGGGCAAAAACAAGCAAAAATCGGCCCTATTTTCGTTAAAAAAGGTCATGGATAGCTTTTAGGAAGCTTATAGAGTGCTCTTGGGGGCTGGGGGGGATAAAATTGAGAAAAAAATGTGCCAGTTTTTGTTCATTTCTACCCTCCCCAGCCTCCAGGAGCACTCTATAAGCCTCCTAAAGGCTATGCATGGCCATTTTGATGAAGGAGGCGGGAGTTCGGGACGCAAAAAAATGCTGTATTCAGTGTATAAGATGCACCCAGATTTTCACCCTCTTTTTTTGTGGGGGAAAAAGATGCGTCTTACACTCCGAAAAATACGGGTAAGTGACACTCATTTAGAAAACAGGTGGTTTTTTTTAGAGCGCTTGGCTAGAGCTGCTGCTTCTGTTTGGCAGGCCAGATTTCTCGGTCGGCCTGTTGCTTCCCGAGGAGTCCCCCCAGCGCCAGAAAATCCACGAGAGCCACAACATTTGCGCCACCTACCGGCAACACCTGTCCAACTTGATCCGAGCTTTCGAAGATCTCCTGCGGGACAGCGAGGTGGATTACTACATAGCCGAGAGCTTTCGGGAGCAGCTCAACCAAAGCGCCCAGATCTTCGAGAGGCTGGAGCACCAATGCCTTTATGGTGGGTAGCTGTCACCTTCTTGAGAACTTCAGCGATGGTGGTGGGGTCCATTCTTCTGGTTTTCTCTCCAGGCTTCACCCCATCCCATCATGACTTCATGTTCTGTTGACCCCGCAAAAGAAGGAGAAAAGACAATGGACGATTTAGAGCTCTCCCAACCCTTACCTTTCCCAACATCATGCCATTTACAGACAATGGAATGGAATGGAATAGAATATAGAACAGACGAGAATAAGGGAATAGAATATAGAATAGAATATGGAATGAATAGGAATGGAATGGAATAGAGTAGATATTAGAATAGAATAAATATTAGAATAGAATAAATATTAGAATAGAACAAATATTAGAATAGAACAAATATTGGAATGGAATGGAATGGAATGAAAATAGTAGATATTAGAATAGAATAAACAATGGAATGGAATAGAATAGAATATAGAATATGGAATGAATAGAAATGGAATGGAATAGAATAGAGTAGATATTAGAATATAGATATTAGAATAGAATAAATATTAGAATAGAGTAAACATTGGTATGGAATGGAATAGAATAGAACAGAGTAGATATTAGAATAGAGTAGATATTAGAATAGAATAAATATTAGAATAGAATAAATATTGGAATGGAATGGAATGGAATAGAATAGAAATAAAATAGGAATGGAATGGAATAACAAAATAGAAAATGCAATAGAATAGGATAGGAATAGAATAGAATAGAAAATTGTGATGGGATAGAATAGAAATAGAATAGAAATAAGAACAGAATAGAATAGAATAATGAAGAATAGCAGAACAGAACAATAACTTTATTGTCACTTTGAATGTGTCTACATTGATCGGCATACATTAAAATGAAATTCCGTTGTATACAGCTTTCAAAGGGTCACCCCCTCCAATATATACCACATGAACATGACATAAATAAATAAATACAAAATTATATACACACAGACACATATATTATATGACACAGAGAGAAAACACAATCACGTTCGGATGTATACATGTACATGGCGAGAAAAATGAATATTGCAAATTTACCAGGCGGGTGGCCTAGGGAACAAAGCTCTTACAGAATCTGGTAGTCCTGCTAGAAATACTTCGAAACCTCCTCCAAGAGGGGAGCAACAGAAACAGACCGTGAAGTGGGTTTGTGGGGTCGCTAACAATGCTTTAATTTCTTAGCTCATAGCGCCTGTAAGCAGAATCCCAAATAACGGGGTGCGAGCTTCCTATAAACTTCTCCGCTGTCCTCACCACTCTCCGTAGGGACTTTCTATCTGAGGCACTGCTGCCACCAAACCAAACAGGGATGCACTTTGTTCAAACGCTCTCAATCGTGCCACTGTAAGGAAGTGGCCAGATGTGATCTTTTCATTCGACGCAGGAAATGCAGATGCTGGTTTGTACGCCTCACTAAGGGTGACGTTGGGCTACAGTTCCCATCATCCCCAGCCAGAAGGCCGGAGTCAGTCTGCTTGGGAGAGGTTGAGAAGAACACTCAGAGAAGGCTCATTGTTTACTTACTTTTTACTTATTTATATAATCCCTAAATGTTGGCTCCTTTCCGTAAAAATATTAGAAGGATGGCTTTTTCCATAGCTACAATTTTAGGCTGTATCCTCTGACAGGCTGCTTGATTTTTCTTGACACCGTAATTATAATTATTATTTTTTCCTCCCTGGCTTTTATAGGCGACTCAATAGACGACGAAATGACTAGACTTTGCAATCTTGCCCAGAGGTAGGTGCTGCTAGAATGATTTTTATAAGTGGGTTTAAATCATCATCCCCTTTTAACGACCCCATAATTCCTTGCGGGGTGGAGTCCGGGCAACTGATTGAAGCTAGCAGAGTGTTTTAATGGCCGGATGCTTGTCCTGTCACCAGTGCGGAGTTTTGTTCACCAGCTACATTCCCAAGTGTGCCCCGCACGCTCCTGTTTTTAAAATATTGAGATGGAATTGCACGCTGAGCACTCACGTTCTTTTAGAATGAATTTCGAACGTTTTGTTAGACGATAAGAATAAAACACAAGAACCCAAAAAGCAAATCGGAGGACCCAGCGGGGAGGGGAAGGGGAAAGATACGTGAGACGGGGAGGGGGGGAAAGGAAAATAAAAGGTTTTGATTTCCGACTGCCCCTCTATTGCAGCTGAATAAAGCATTAACACCGAACCTCAACTTTTTACTTTTCCATAATAATAAAAAGTATCCATTTCTATCATCAACCGAATGAGTAAACCCCAAAATCAAAGTTTCCATTTCCCCCACCCTCCACCTCGAGCACAAAGTCCAGAAGTGGTTTCCAAGGAGAAACGAAAGCAATTGTGTTTTTTTCTTTGATCACAGCAGTCAATCTTCTACCCTGTTTCTCTGAAAATAAGACCTCCCCGGATAATAAGCCCATGGGCTTTTGAGTGCATGCGCTAAAATAAGCCCCCCCGAAATAAGCCCTCTCTGAAAATATTACAACACAGCAGCAGTCATGAGGTGACCACGCTCACTGCCTCCTGCACCTCAAAAATAATATTACCTCCCCAAAAATTAGGCTAAGTGCTTATTTCATGTGTGTGTGTGTGTGTGTGTGTGTGTGTGTGTGTNACCTCATTGGAGAATGTGATTTATGACACAGACTGAGGGGAGCGAAGGAACAGGGGTAAAGGTCGGCTAAAATTCAAACGCTTAGATCTGACTGCAATAGGGTATTGCTGAAATGGTACTCCTAATACATGACTGGTTTTCTTTTGAAACTTGGCTCGAGGCTCATGAATCAATTAGGGCATCTTTCGGAAACCAATTCAGGCAGTCAGTTCTAAGCTTGGCTTGCCAGAAGGTCGGAAAATGGGAATCACGCAACCCCTGGTCACTGCGACCTGTCGTAAATATGAGTCAGTTGCCAAGCATTTGAATTTTGCTCTTGTGACCCTGGGGGGGAGGGTGCCACGGTTGGGTGAAAACTGGTCGTAAGACGCTTTTCCCACTTCCGTTGCATGGTCACTAAACAGGCTGTCGTAAGCCAAGGGCTACCTCTGGTGAGATTTTGCTGGGGTTTGAAAACTTGCAAGAAGGTGGCCCAAAGTTTGCTCTTTGCCAGGTTCAAAGAATTTTGAGTTCCTTGATTTGGGCGATCAGCGCTCCGGGTTTCAAGACAGCTTTGATTTTTTAGCCTTGGTTCCCACCTTCCACGTCGGTGACTCACAATTAGGATACTTTCTTATTGTTATTTAATCTCGGGCCAGCTTCTCTCTCTCTCTTCTCCCCAGGCGCTCAAACGTCCTTCAGAATTTATAAATCTTCTCCACTCCAGTCCTTTAATATACGTCATTTCTTTCTCTTTTTTCTTTGCTTTGGATATGCAACATTAGCTTTTATAGTCAAAGTGAAAAAATAATGTTGGCTCTTATTAAATCTTTGGAGAGCGAAAGCAATTACTAGGGAGGGTTATACTTGCATGCATGTGTGTGTATGTGCGTTTTGGGCATGCAGGTTTTTTGGGGGCCTATGAAATCATTATAAGCGACGCGGTGGCTCAGTGGCTAAGATGCTGAGCTTGTCGATCAAAAACGTTGGCAGTTTGGCGGTTCGAATCCCTAGTGCCGTGTAACAGAGTGAGCTCCCGTGACTTGTCCCAGCTTCTGCCA